GAGGGTGCTAGTGCTCTTAATTACTCTTGCTCAAGCCTTAAGCCCCCTTTTCCTCAAACATAGCCCCTCCTTTTAAAGCACAGTTTCACTATGTAGCCCAGGCTGACCTTAACTCAGGTTATCAGATTGCATGGCAGGTGGGTGCCTTTACCCACTGAATCATCCCACTGGAACCTTATTTTATTAATAAACTTCAACAGATTGATAAAGTGAAAATTGGCTACAGAGAAAATGTATTTTTCTTTTTCTTTCTTTCCTTCCTTCCTCTTTCTTTCTTTCTTTCTTTCTCTCAAGACAGGGTTTCTCTGTGTAATAGTTCTAGCTGTCCTGGAACTTGCTCTTGTAGGCCAGGCTGATCTCAAACTCACAGAGATCCGCCTGCCTCAGCCTCCCGAGTGCCTGGATTAAAGGCGTGTGCCACCACTGCCCAGCTGAAAATGTATTTTTCTAAAGACATCCCAAACAAGGATATGAAAACCAAAATGGCCCATGCTTACTTAGGACTAGGATGTTTTGTAACCCTGACCCTTACTGCATCAACACCCCTCATTCCCAAGTCTAACCCGACTACTTCAGGTAACCATCAGACAACTTTTCGAGACAGGCTTTCTTTGTGTAGCCTTGAATATCTTGGAACTCACTCTGTAGTCTGCTTGCCTCTGCCTCCAGAGTTCTGGGATCAAAGGTGTGCACCACCACCCCTGCCACCTTACAACTTTTAACAAAGGGAAATCTTCAAGAAAGGTAAATAGTCAAGCAGTGGTGATTGGTGGATCTCTGTGAAATTGAGGCCAGCCTTGTCTACAAAGCAAGTACCAGAACAGCCAGCACTGTTACACAAAGAAACTCTGTCTCATAAAAGTAAAAAAAAAAAAAACCACTTTTAAAAGATTTATTTTATGTGGAGTACTCTATCTGCATGTATGTCTGCACACCAGAAGAGGGCATCAGATCATTACAGATGGTTGTGAGCCACCATGTGGTTGCTGGGAACTCAACTTAAGCACTCTGAATTGCTGAGCTGTCTCTCTAGCACCATGATCCTCCTCCACCTCCTGCTCCTCCTCCTCTTCTTCTTCTTTCTTCCTTCCTTCCTTCTCCTCCTTTTTATTTTGAGACAGGGTTTCTCTGTGTAACCCTGGTTGTTCTGGAACTCACTCTGTAGAACTGGCTGGTCTCGAACTGAGGCAGGCAGCATAAAGAAACAGAAGACAGAATGAGTCTGGGCTCAGACAAGACTGTTTATTAGCACACACAGAGAGGGGCAGCCTCTCTCCCTCGGGGACATGGAGGGGTCTGCGAGGGAGATGAGGACATCGCTGCAGCTGCGGGGTTGTGTTGGGGCTTGACATCTCTCTTTCTCGGAGTTGTTTGCTTTGAACAAGACATTATCTTGGGACTTGGGTTCTCTGTGCAAGCATTCCTCTGGGTTGAGGCAGGTTGAGCAAGGTCAGCTGTAATTTCCGAGAATCCTGTTTTTACAAAGCAGGTGGTACTCTACAAAGTGAGTTTGCTCTTTGCCTGAGCGTGGCCATATCAAAGACTCATGGGAGAGGCAAAGTCTTTCCCAGGGTGAGGTTCAGCGGGAATGTTTGCAGAAAATGTCCACCCCCACCTGTTTACTGCCTGCAGACCAATCCAGCCATGATTAGCTAAACCTGCCTCCTTATTTGACGTAACTACCCCACCTCCTAGTTCAACTGGAATCAACAGGCTGCACTTCTGGAGTGCTTCAGGGAGATCCAATCCCAGCTTTTCTGGACTTGTTTCCATGTGTCATTTATTTCCTCGAAGGTGTTCAGGGACTGAAGCTGTGCAGGACGCGGCAGCATCCTTTCAGGAATGTGACTTGGAAAACCACAGGATCATATAGCCACTGTAAAGAAATCTACACATGACTATTCTTTAAGTAGACCACGCCCAGGTCATGGGATGTATATTGTCCTTTTCCTATGTGATTGCCTCAATCCATAATAAGCTCACTAACCGCCTCACCCTAACTCATCCTACAATTCTTCCCTGGAGCAGGCATGGATCTGACCTTACCTAGTGGCTGTCCCCAAGGCCGATAGGAGCACGGTAGGCTGCTGGTGGCTGTGTTGGGATATCCTCTACCACTACCGAAAAATCTTCAATTTTACTTGACCCTTCTGTTTCTCTTGACTTGTATGACTAACAATGTCAGTCTTCTCTTTCCACAACCAACCCATGGCAGGTTCATTGACCCTGTGTTTTTCCAGGCTCTATCTATTTAATTCCTGTCCTGTTCTTCTCATCTACTCGTTTGTGGGTGGACTTTCTTCTAAGCCCTGCGATGCACAGCCTCATGAATGCTAGGCAAGAACTCCACCAGTTAGCCATACCCCCAGCCCCAATTCCTAGGAGTTTTTAAATAGCCTTGTTCTGTTGGAACCTCCAGCTTGCTCCTGCAGAATCAGGAAAGCCCCATTCCTGTCTCTTCCTCTAAACCTCACCCATTCAGCCTCTGAAGGAAAGGTGCCAAAAAGTCCAGTTCCCCATTTTTACCAGCTACTGCATCTTCCTCCCTGATGTTTCCAGCTGCCCAAGTGCCTGCCTAAAATGCTCAGCCCTTGACCATACTTGGCCACAACCCCCGCTTGTGGTGGACGTCATCACCTCTCGCCTACAACCTATAAAGTCTCCCTGCTTTCTTTTGTGGGGGTGGCTTCTCCAGCCTTGATCTCTGGGACTGAAGAACCCACGTGGGAGTTGCTTTGCTCAAATAAACCTGTTGTTATACTTTTTCAATTAGTCTTGATCCCATTCAATGCATCAGCAGAGAAACCTATTAGCCCTCTCTGATTTCTTCAATGCACACTGGTTTTTCTAAAATCTATTGTTCAATCTCCATGTATCTGTGTAGTACCTTTGTTTGAGACAGGGTCTCTCTAAGGCAGTATTGGAACTTGATACATAGCTCAGACTGGTCATGAACTCAGAGATCTATCTACAGTGCCTCCCAAGAACTAGAATAAAAGGCATACACCACCTCACCTGCCTGTACAGTTTTTGTAAGCTCTTGTCATTTATCTTGCTTTATTCCAGTCTGATCTTATAAGATACAAAAAACCAAAAACTCCAATTAACCAGATAAAAAAAACAGGTCACTGAGATGGCTTATTGGGTGAATGCACTTGTCTCAAGCCAAACAACCTGACCTCAACCCCATGACCCACATGGTGGAAGAGAACCAAGTCCTGCAAGGCGTCCTGACCTCTTGCATGATGGCATGTGCTCTCGTGCTGGCCTGCGTGCACATACTCACGCAATGTAGTAAGACTGACTTTGAGAGACAGAAAAATTTATTCTAATTATTTTGTTATTTGTGAAAGCTAGCTTTTGGACTAAGATGTGACCAGTTTTAGAGATGATCCCATGTATCTGAGAACATGTCTTCTATAGCTTTGGGTGGGAATTTTGTATAGATGTCATTTAAACGTAACCCTGAATTTTCTTGTTTTTAGTCTGGATGCCATACCTATTGGGACGACTGGGTATCGAAAGCATCTACTATTATTGTATCTGGACCCATCTGTCCGTTTATACCCACTACTATTTATAAAACCGGAAAACCCAACATTTGGTGCATATATATTTACAACTGTTCTGTTTCCTTTATTAATACATACTGGCCTCTTGACTTCCATCCCTTCCTGTTCAGTCTGTGTGTCATTGCCAATGAGGTGTTTCTTAGAAACCAAATTTATTTATTTATTTAAAGACAGCCTCAGACAGGCACGCAACTTTAATACCAGCACTTGGGAGGCAGGCAGATCTCTGTGAGTTTGGGGGCAGCCTTGTCTACATAGTGAGTTCCAGAGCTACAGAGACTTTGTCTCAGAGACTTACTATGTCATTCTACCTACCTCCTCTTCTTGAGTGCTGGTGTTAAATGCATGATCCCCTTGCCTGACTCTACTGGTTGCTAATCCAGAGAGGCTGTGTTTGATTCCCAGCACCCACGTGGTGGCTCACAACCATCTGTAACTCGTTCCAGAAGATCCAACTCCTTTTCCTGGCCTCTGCATGTATCAAGCACACACACAGGTCAAATACCCATACCCACAAAAGGAAGCTAGCTAAATATGAGCCAGAGTTAGCGTTATGCCCAAATCTGCGAAGTCCCCCCAGAATCAACAAGGAGACAGAATCCCTTATGTAAAAGCAAAGAGCCTTTATTTTATGCAAGTTTGCAAACTCAGTCTCTCTGCATGTCCAACATATTGGAATAAACGGAGATCCCTGAGCTCAGTTAGAGTTGGGTTTTTATAGTAGTAGAGGTGGGGGTGAGGGGTTTCTTAAGGTTCAGGGCCCCTGATTGGCTGACATTTGTCTAGGGGTGCCCTGTTGAGCGTATCCTGGCAGGTGATCCTGTAATGGAAAAATTAAAAATGCTGCAGGATCCCCAGCGGCAGAAATGCTGTAGGTCCCCAAGCTGTGGTAGTGGCCATGTGGCAGCAGGCAGCGGGGCCCCAGAGCAGCCAATCCCAGGCAGAGACAGCTGCAGTTCCCCGAGCAGTGGCTGGTCCCAGGCAGGGAGACACATGGCGGACGGGCAGGAGACAGAGACATGGATAGACACGCCATGCAGAGTGAGGTTGGATATTTATTCAAGGGGTTATGGAGTGGGAAGGGAGAAGGGAAGAAGAGCAGAGAGAGAGAGAGAGAGAGAGAGAGAGAGAAAGAGAGGAGGAGAGAGAGACATAAGAGGGGGAAGGGGAGAAGTGGGGAGAGAGGCAGAAGCTGCCTCTCCGAGAGGAAGACAGAAAAAGAGAGCGAGCTCAGGCCAGGAGCTGAAGATCAGCCTGCCTCAGCGGATGGGGGAGGGAGTAGGTGTGGCTTGTCTCTTAAAGAGACAGAACAATCCTTACAGGGAACATGGGATGATGTTCCTTTCCACAACTACTTCAACTGACATTGGGGCATTGTTATCGGGGTCCCTAGCCAAGGGTAGGGAGGAAATTTAGGCAATAGGGCACTCATCAGACTTTGTTGAAGGGACAGGGGGTGTCCATATCAGCTGGACTGGTCCACATCAGCTTTTAGGAAGTTTAGGGCTCGCCACTGTTCAGAGCAGGTTGTAGTCAGCAGCTGATGCTTAGATGCGTCTGTCAGCCAAGTGGAAGCCTATTGAGATAAGTTTAAGCTAGGAACAGAAATTAAAATTTAGAAAAAGAGCAGATAACAGGTATCTGTAAACAGAAGGAATAGATTCATACCTTTGAGTCCTAGCAAAAGCTACAGACTTTGGTTAGAAGCATGTATATTTTTCTTCTGTCCAGAGAACCATGTATGGTGGCTTTAGAATGAGCTACCAAGTTGGCTATAGCTTTGTGGAAGAATCTGGATATCTTTTGCTGTTAAACTGACATTATAACTGCCCTATTAATACTATCAGAGATCTCAGAAGGATAAATAAAGTATATCTGAGTACAGACCAAATAGTTTCTGAATCTATTAAAAATGGCAGGGACCAGAGTCCATAAACAGTTAGTCATATCCAGGTCTCCACAGCATGGCAGAAGTATCCAGAACAGCAGTCTTACAGTCTTAGCCAGGCCCGTAAGGTGAATATTTTTCCTATGGAAAAGACTGAGTTTATTTTGTCTAGGAAAAAGTGGTGCAATCAATTTTCCAATGCCCTGTTGTTTGCCCACAGTCTGGACAGGGTCCTAGCAGCAAGTGTTGCACTGGGGCATCTCGCCCAGTGGTCAGCGTAATCCAGGTGGAGACCTCATGGTGTCCCATAATCTTTGGAGACCTTGGGTTCCTGCTAGGATCTCAGAGTCTCTAATACAATAAACTTATTTATTCATTTATTTATTTTTATTTTTGGTTTTTCGAGACAGGGTTTCTCTGTGGCTTTGGAGCCTGTCCTGGAACTAGCTCTTGTAGATCAGGCTGGCCTCAAACTCAGAGATCCGCCTATCTCTGCCTCCCGAGTGCTGGGATTAAAGGCGTGCGCCACCACCGCCCAGCAAGCTTGTTAATCATTGTTTTAAATGCCATATTCTGCAGATCTTTGAAGTATGAGGGCTGCCTAGGTATGCCCGATTAGACAAACTTTGCTTTTCATTACTTGTTTTGACTTTGAAAACATATACAGGGAACTAAATAAGGCTTGTTTCTGTAACTGATTATATCAGTACTTTATTTTTTTTAAGTTTTTATTTATTTATTTATTTATTTTTATTATGTATACAATATTCTGTCTGTGCATATGCCTGCAGGCCAGAAGAGGGCACCAGACCCCATTACAGATGGTTGTGAGCCACCATGTGGTTGCTGGGAAATGAACTCAGGACCTTTGGAAGAGCAGGCAATGCTCTTAACCTCTGAGCCATCTCTCCAGCCCCTATATCAGTACTTTAAAGATGACTGACTGCCTTGTATTTTTTAACAGTCTATAAGTTAGCAGCTTTCACAAGACTAGAACTCTATACTCTGTAATAATTCTGAATTAAAGGTAATAAAGAGACTGAATTAGTCATTCTGAGGGTAAACAAAGGACAAGAACAGCTATATCTAGCTGTTAATGCTGTCTCCTGCAAAGGCAAGGAACAGGTCCCAAGGTGAAATGGGGACAGGAAGGAATCTAAGAACTAGCATTGCCCTAGGGCAAATGCTGATCTATAGAACCCATCTTGGCAGGTGTGTACCAAGTTGCCCTGGGAAAGCTGCCCTGGGCCCTACATTTTTTCCCCTTCACAAGTACCAGTGACAGGACTCAGTCACGGATCCCGTCTGCCCAGGGGCTCAAGGGGGTGATACTGGGGACTTCAATACCATCACTCAAACAGTATTGACCCATTCTTGAACAAAAGCCATCAAGTCTGTTGATAAGAAGAAGCAAGATCATCAGGGGCCTGTTAGAGCTGAAAGTAAAGTGGTTAACCAAGGAGACCAGCTGAACAAGTTTTCATCCAGCTTCCCTGTGAGTATTCTGTTCTCTATCATTAACAAGGCCATTGAATCTCTAATTACCCCAGAGTGATTGGCAGAAGAGGAGGTCCAAACCTCTTAGTATCAATACAAAAATTTATGACTCAGTTTATCCAAATAGCTTAAACCCAACAAAGTCAGCAAAGACAAGGAGGCTAAACATACATTTTTAAGCCTTAATAGACCTTGAACAAAGAAATACATTTTTTTTTTTCGAGACAGGGTTTCTCTGTAGCTTTTTTTTGGAGCCTGTCCTGGAACTAGCTCTTGTAGATCAGGCTGGCTTCGAACTCACAGAGATCCGCCTGCCTCTGCCTCCCAGGTGCTGGGATTAAAGGCGTGTGCCACCACCGCACAGCAAAAGAAATACATTTTTAAACCATTAGTTAATATTTTTAATGCTTTGACCTTTTATAACTTTTTTTTAGACAACATAAAAACTCTTACTGAAGGCTTTCTTGTGGTTTTCCTCAGTGGTGTATGATATATTGTATGGCTACAACATTTTAAACAAGAACAGAAATATGCACACACTATAACAAAAGAACTTTTAAATTTACATCACATAAAATCTTGTATCAGTGTGAAACATTTGAGACCAACAGTAGGTTTTTTTTCATACATTAACCAATAATAACTTATAACCAGCCCCTATAAATGATGAATGATCAGAGCAGCTCTGGTGGAGGAAAGTCTGGCTATAATGTTACAACATGGCCAATGAAGCAACACCTATAGCCAGAGTTCTGGGCCCGTGGAGCCAAACCTTGGTCAGGTTTGATCAGAAGTTGAGGCACACAGCCCCCAGGGCAGGCGGAGGGAACACACCCATCAGCATGGGAAGGGGCAGGGTGGTATGCAGCATGGGGGGGTATTGTTACCTCTCCAGCCATAGCAATTAACCTCAGATTCTCTGTTCAGTGTTTGAAATCCTATTGGGGTACATCTGTCCCCTACAACTGTGGCTGGCAGCCTTGCTACATTGCAACAACAAGGTTGCATAGCCCAGCCACCCATCCACACAGGCACACTGCCCCACAGCCTCGTGCTCAGGGCCAAGGCTGACTCCTTTTCATGAAATGTTTAAGGCCATGGGTAGAGGTTATGTGTCTTATCCCTTTTAGGAAAATATACCCCTATGCTTATGGCCCTATCTCTAAAGTCCTGTAAGTGATCACAATATCAAAGTCAAAGAAATCATGATTTGAGTCTGTCCCATATCTACAATAAAAACCTTCCCCCCATTCACACCTTGGAGCAGACACCTCACCAATGCCATCAGTTTATACCTTCCCCTAGAGAAATGAAACTTTTTTTGTTTTTCAAAATAGACTTTCTCTGTAGCTTTTTTTTCGTTTGTTTGTCTGTTTGTTGGTTTTGTTTTTTGAAACAGGGTTTTCCTGAATAACATTCCTACCTGTCCTGGAACTAGCTCTTGTAGACAAGGCTGGCCTCTCACAGAGATCCGCCTGCCTCTGCCTCCCAAGTGCTGGGATTAAAGGCGTGTGCCACCATGACCCGGCTCTCTGTAGCTTTTTGAGCCTGTCCTGTAACTCACTCTGTAGACCAGGCTGGCCTCGAAACTACAGAGATCCTCCTGCTTCTGCCTCCCAAGTGCAACGATTAAAGGCCATGCAATCACTGCCCAGCAAGAAATGGAAATGAAGTCGTTCCTGGAGGGTCCTGTCGCCTGCCTTGCCACAGCTCTCCTCTGAGACTACAACTCTGCAAGGGTCAGCAGATGCGCATCTGTGATGCAGAGAGCCTCTGCAGCTCCAGGGCAGCTTGCTGCTGTATCTTCATCCCAACAGAAGACAAAGATCAAGAGGACAGGGTTCTTCCCCTTCCTGGGGCCTTATAATTCTCCCAGCTGCAGCCTTTTCTTGTCTGCAGAGCTGTTTGCAAGTTAAGAAAAAAAAAAAAGGATAAAAACCCTTCTGGGGACTGTTCTTCATCAGTCACGAGTAGTAAGTACTGGGTGAGGTAGCTCAGCAGCCACGAGACAGGGCACCTTGCAGGGCCTTTAAATTCCAGGTCTTTCCTCTCAACAGCCTTCCTACTTTGCTGCATCTGCAGGTCACTGGCCCTGCTCCCTCTAATCATTCTGGATTTTCCCTGAGCACACCCACAACTGCGGTATTGCTGTGGTTGCTCGGATCTGAACTGAAAATGTCCTCAAGATTGGCTTGGAGCCAGCAGGAATGTGAATAGCCTTGCCCTCATCTGGCCACCTCCCTCCCTTTGTTAGACTGTGTCAATTGTCTGTTGATCTACCCTGAAGTTTAAAGTAAGGAAGGAGCCAGAAACAATGCAAAAATAACACTAACTTTCCTTTTAACCTTCTGGTTTGTTTTTTTCCTCTTGTTTCTCCAGGCTAAACCCACAGTCCATTAGTGGGGGTTACAGGGTTCCGCCCCATCTCCACCCCCCTCCGCCCCTGTTTTTTTGGGAGGACAGCCAGTCCTAGCACTGCTTCTACTCCCTCCCACTTGGGTCCTACAAAATATTCAGCTCAAAGTCCTACTGTGCATTCCTTACATCGCAACACCCACATACAGAGATCCCTACCACTGTGCACCGGGGCGGTGAGGCTCAGAGCTCAGAACCAGGTGAGTGGCAGGGTGGGGTGGCCCCGATAGTCCTGCCCAGCTACAGGTTCCAACATTCAAGGGCCAAATAGTTGCTCCATCTTCATTAGTCTATTTGAACCCCTGCCTGGGCCTCTAACTGCTCTCCTTTCCCCGCACATACTCCACCTCAGAAGAGCAACTGTAGCTTGTCTGAGTTTCTCCTCTTTTCTCTGGCTGGTTTTAGAATCCTTTTAAATAGAAAATCTCTCCCCAGCCTGCAACAAGCTTAGTAGCTAAACTGGTTATGCTTGTCTCCGAGCAAAATAGGTTTAGATGGTTTGGGGCGTTTCTGAAGGAGGAAAAGTGGGGAGAGGCACATGCGCATGGGCTGACCATCCAGCTGCACCAGGAAGTGTAAGAGACACAGGGCTGGTTCCCCGAGTGTCCTCAGTACATCCTGGTATCTATCCAAAAATACCAAACACTGTTTTGGTTCCACCTCAGAGTGCTTTAATGTCTGGACTATGCTTGGGACCCAGGGACACAGAGAGTTTGCAGGTGGGCAGCGACACAGCCACAGAAGTGACTTTCTCTGGACTTTTTCAGACCCTCAGGAGCCCAATCTTATTTTGTTCTTTTTTGAGACAGGGTTTCTCTGTAGCCTGTCCTGGAACGTGTTCTGTAGACCAGGCTGGCCTCAAACTCACAGAGATCCACCTGCCCTGCCTCCCGAGTGCTGGGATTAAAGGTGTGTGCCACCATTGCCCAGTGACAGGATCCTAATCTTTTTATTTGGAGGGGGGATTTCGAGACAGGGTTTCTCTATAGCTTTGGAGCCTGTCCTGGAACTAGCTCTTGTAGACCAGGCTGGCCTTGACCTCACAGAGATCTGCCTGTCTCTGCCTCGTGAATGTTGGGATTAAAGGCATACACCACCACCGCCCGACCAGGATCCCAATCTTAAAGCAAGAATCTGCAGTATTGTGAACTTTAAAAAAAAAAAAAAGTGAGTTTCACTGTTCTCAATGCAGTTGATGCAACATGGAGTTAATTGAGGATATCTCCCGTCCACCACTGGTGTATGTGAAGGGTATCCCACTCATCAAATATTTTGCGGAGACTCTTGGGCCATTGCAGAACTTCACTCCCTGGTCTGATGACTTGCTTATCAGCACATACCCAAAGTCTGGTAAGCAACAGAGGGTCCCCCAATGTCCTATAGACCTCATTTTGGCAAGCAGGTCCAGACTCTGTATTCCCTTCTTTCCAGGTACTACCTGGATGAGTGAGATCCTGGATATGATCTACCAGGGAGGCAAGGTAGAAAAGTGTCTCCGGGCCCCCATCCATGCCCGGGTGCCCTTCCTTGAGTTTGGATGCCCGGGAGTTCCCTCAGGTATGAGCATTAGGGTGCTAGACACAAGTGGAGAGAGGTAGGACAAAGCCCTAGCTTAACAAAGTTCTCTGCTCAACTTTAGGTCTTGAATCTTTGGCGGAGACACCAGCCCCGCGGCTCCTTAAGACACATCTGCCACTGTCCTTGCTCCCTCGGAGTCTGCTGGATCAGAAGACCAAGGTAAAAACAAACAACAAAAACCCCAGTTATGGTAGTACCTTCCAGCATTTGGGAAGTAGAGGCAGAAGGACCAGGAGTTTAGGGCCAGTGTTTGCTACCCAGCAAGTTCAAGACCAGTCTGAGCTGTATCTGACCCTCTTTCAAAAACATGGGGAAGAAGAAGGGAAGGACAGATGGAGGGAGGGAAGGGAAGGGAAGGTGAGAGGACGCAAGGGGCCCCTGGGGTCATTCTAGCTTTGGTTTGCTATGCTGGAACTCGTGGGACTACTTAAGCCCTGTTTCATCCTGTATGGAGGGTCTCTGGCTGTCACCCTGGCAGGGCTCAGACAACAAGGAAAATGGACTTCTTCAGTGTAAACTAGAGGTGCAAAGTCCAGCTACACACAGGACATAGATGAAGGGGCTGGTGGAACTCTAACCTACTATGTGGATGTGCTGGCAATAAAGGAGTCAGATAAGATATAGTTCACAGAATAGCCAGGACATTGGCATCAAAGGTGTAATCTTAGGTCAATGGTACCCCTACCATATCTCAACAAGTCAGCTTCTAGTCCTATTTTCTTTTCTGCCATCCCCAAAAGAAATGCTGAGAGTTCCCAAGTGCTAGAAGGCACAGCACCTCTCTGGGTCCTGTGCAGGGTGATAGGAAAGCAGAAGGAGGAACCAGAACTAGGGACTGTCTGCCTCTGCAGATGATCTACATTGCCAGAAATGCAAAGGATGTGGCCGTCTCCTATTATAACTTCTACAACATGGCCAAGGTGCACCCTGATCCAGGCACCTGGGACAGCTTCCTGGAGAACTTCATGGAGGGGAAAGGTGAACCTGAGTCTGTAGCACGGAGCGGGCTGGAGCTGAGGGCACAGCTGGAGCTGACAGGCGTGTCTGTGCCCCATTCCCTTCCCCAGTGTCCTATGGGTCGTGGTACCAGCACGTGAAGGAGTGGTGGGAGCTGACACGCTCTCACCCTGTTCTCTATCTCTTCTATGAAGACATGAAGGAGGTGAGACTGCCTGCTGCCACTTCTTTCTGTGTCACAGGCAGGAGCATCACTCACCTGGTCCTGTCCTGACCCCAGCCCCATCCCAGCCCCACCCCACACCAGCCCCTCCCATCCTACCTCCTGGCTAGACCCTCAGTGCAGCTCATCAGAGGGCGCTGCACAGCCTTTATCTTGGAGCAGGTGTCACTCATGCGCCACTGTTGATCTGGTGGTTTGCTGCTCTTGCTTCTCCCTGCTCCAAGTCTGGACACCAGAGATCAAAGTCTGTCCCTGTCCTCTCCCAGAGTGAACCCACAGAGATCATGCCAAGATGGCAGGGTAGGAAGCTACCTACTCTGCATCAGGGCAAGAGGCTCACAGTCAAGGGGTCAGGTCTGAGAATTCCTTGGTAGAAGTGGTGCTCCCTATGGGTACTCTCCCAACCTTATCCCAATGAACACCCAGAGATCATTTCTATGCTTCAGAATCCAAAAAGGGAGATCAAGAAGGTCCTGGAGTTTTTGGGGCGCTCTTTGCCTGAGGAGACTGTGGACCTCATTGTTCACCACACATCCTTCAAGAAAATGAAGGAGAACCCCATGACTAACTACACCACTCTCCCCTCTGCAGTCATGGACCATGATGTTTCTCCCTTCATGAGGAAAGGTAGGTAGTAGCCTGGATGGGCATTTGGAGGATTTGGGGAAGGGAGGTCGGATGCAGCCAATAAAGCCTGCAGTCCCATGGGTCCTGTGGCTGTGAGTACAGTCTCTCTCCCTCTCTCCCTCTTCAGGTACCACTGGGGACTGGAAAAACACCTTCACTGTAGCTCAGAATGAGCGCTTTGATGCCCACTACGCTAAGATGATGAGAGGCTGCAATCTCAAATTCCGTTGCAATCTGTAAGTGGATATGGCTATCCTGGGAATGGGGGGGGTAAGCTGACATAACCCATTATGACCTCAAGAATGAAATATGATGCATCCATGTTGTATGCCTACAGGAAATCTGAGCCAACAGAATGACTAGGACTGGGGCCGTACACGAGTGAAGAGGATTTTATCAACATGTGTCAGGAAAGCAATCCATTCGCGCAGTGAAAAGGAACCCAAACATGCAAGAGAAGAAGACAAAAACTGTATTTTACCTGAAAGAATAAATGACTGGGCCTTCTCCCTCCTGCGGCCATCAATCCCATGTGTCTGACAGAGGAGGGCAAGAGGGTCTGAAGCAGTGAGGCCCAGGAGACATGGTGAGAGGAAGAGTATTTATTTGATTACAGGAACTCCTTTGTTGCCTTTTCCCATGAGACGCAAGCCTGCCAGCCAGCTTCACTTTTTCTTGGGCTCCTTACAAGCCACCACGTACCTCTGGGCCACATTGAGAGGAGGGGAGTAGCCATCTGCATAGGAGGTGTCTTCAAACAGGACTGAGTAGTCATCCTGAGGCTGTAGGGTACACATAGGAAGCCTGATCAAGATGCTTCTAGGGCAGCCTCTCCTTGCCCAGAGCCCCAGCTGCATCTCCCGCCTCTCCCGCCTTCCTCTCTACTCTCTTCCTGGTGCTACCAGGAAAGCCTATGTTCAGGAGATGAAGGGCTACAAGGCAGCAAGCAGGCGTCCTGAAGAAAGATGGGGAAAATCCTTAAGGTTCTGGTGTCCAAGACCTTCCACGGTAGCTCCTTACCCGCTGTGGGGGGGTGTGGATCAGGGCACGGTAGAAGCAGGTGGTCTGGGGATATAGGGCTAGCACCAGCTGCTCCTTCTGAAACAAGGCCTCAGGGTCTGTCTCAGGGTTAGCTTTCCACTGGGGCAGTGGGATGATGCGCCGCCGACTCAGGGTGTGTCTCCTGGGGGAAAATACATGCCGTGACCAGGGAGGCTTCTCCTAGAAGCCTGGTGACTCCACTGCTCCCCACTTGGACACTCACTCTTTGCCTTCTTCATCAATGTCGTCTACCTCATACCTGTGGGCAAACCAAAGGGAAACAGTGCTGGAACAAAGGACACAGTCTGCATCCAGGAGGAAGCAGGAGAGAGGATGAAGAGGGGCTGCAGAAGCTGACGTGGTGAGCATGTGGCCGGGCACACACTCACTTGTTGGTAGCGTGGCTGTAACTGACTACTTCAGCCAGGATCCACTGCTCGTCCCCGTCCACAGCCTTCACTCTAGCAGCCACCTTGTCTCCAGGTTTGGCCACATAGTCCCCTGAGGCTGGAATGGCTCCACAGAGGGGTGGGGGCCTGTGAGAGAAAGCCTGTTAGTCTGGGCCCCTGGCACCAGCCCTCTCTGGCCAGTTCCCGCCCTCACTTGTCACCAGGCTTCCCGATCCAGAGGGGCAGGGTCATGGCCGACTGCTGCAGCAGTGTCATCAGGACCCCTCTGCGCATGGTCTTCCGTGGAGGCTCCGAATCATTGTAGAGACCTGCGATCTTGGCCGCTGTGGGAGCAAGGGAAGCCCTGAGGCCTTGTGGATGGTGCCTGACCCAGTCACATCCCAGCAACTGTTCTGAGCTAGACCATGTTATACCAGGATCCCCAAACCATCCATACCCCTTCTTAACAGATATCTAAGGTTGGGAATGGCCAGGCCTAACTCTCAGATGGGTGAAATATCAGGACAGTGGCTACTGTCATGGAGAGGAACTAAAAAGGAGGTCCTAGGATGCAGACTATATTCTGTTTCCTGACCAGGGCCCTGGATATGTAAACGTGCTGGGTCAATGAAAATTCCTGGAGTGAGATCCTTCTGTGATCTCCTTTCTATTAGTGTTTGCATTTCAGCAAACGCTGCACAGATTATCTAGTGTGAATTCTTGGCCTCATCAGCCATGGCTCATCACACTCTTCAACTGAAAACAGACAAAAATGGTACCATGATCACACTAAGGGGAAAAAGAGTTGCATCTGGGGCAAGACAGATGTCAAAAAACCAAGGCATTGGCACCCAAGGAGACCTATGAGGCCGAGGGCTAACCCAGCTTCAAATGTGTTCACCAAAGCATGCCACAGAGGGAGCAGTGGTAGAAAGGAGAGGTGACCAGCCCTGGCTAAAGTGAGCAAGGGCAGTGTGAGGGGTGAGGCACAATCTCCTGGGTCTGGGCAGAGACCTAGGCAAACTCTCTGCCTCTGAGTCTGTCTCAGATCAGCTGTCAGGTGACTGCACCAACTTATGTCCCATGATCCTCGCCTGCCAGGGCCATAACTGCTTTCCCCCAAACCCACACCTGGCCTGGTTAAGAAATGCCCTGCATTTTCTCCCACTTACCAATCCGCCTCTCTTCCAACAGAGACTTGATCTCAGCTATCTTATCCAGTGCTTTGCGGAGGATGCTAGGCAGGGAAGGGGGAAAAGGGTGCTGGGTGAGGCACTCAGCATAGGCTTCTTGGCAATTTGGGCTCCCAGACCAAGTCTATGCTAAAACTCCAGATGCTGTTGGGTGTGGCTGACACCTGTAATCTTGGCCCACAGGCGGCGGCAGCAATCCTGTGCTGAGTCTGATGCCGTCTTGGCCACACAGTGAGCTCCAGGTCTGCCTGGGCTAGAGTGAGACCTTGCTTCAAACACAAAAGGAGAGGCTCTAGAGATGGCCCAGTGAATTAAGGACCTGTTATGCAAACTTAGGGTCTGAGTAGATTCCCAGCACCCATCTGAGAGCCAGACATGGTGCCTGCAATCCCAGTGCTGGGTGACTGTGGAGACACTAAGATCCTGGGAGCTCACTGGCCAAACAGCCTGGCCAAATTCATCAGTTTCCGGTTCATGGGGGACCCTGTTTCAAAAACTAAGGTGGGCAATAATCAAGGAAGACTCCAATACCAACGAGGAGCCTGCACATGCGCTTCCACCCACCTGGAAGGCAGAAGGAGGTGGATCTCGAGTTCGAGGTCAGCCTGGGCTACAGAGTTCCAGAACAGTCAAGGCTACACAGAGAAACCAAACCAAACCAAAACAAATAAAAATTTACTAAATTATATTTTTGACAAAATACATGTGACACTGGCAGCTACATTATACATTTCATGTTCATGGATGTCTTTATTGTGTAAGAAGCCACAGCGAGTGTCAATGCATCTAAGTTTGTGACAACGCTGTGTGATACTCACAGTGGGATTCACCAATGGCAGGGCTCAGAAAGTTAACTAACTAATGACTGTGAACTTTTTCAGAGCTAAGGATGGAACCCAGGGCCACTGGAAAGCTAGGCAACTGCCCTACCACTGAGTGATAGCCTCAACTCTATTTTTCAATTAAAAGCATAAGGAGCAATGTAGCAGAAAGTGTCAGGACAACCCCTGGAGAAAGCAGGCGTTCTGAGAGGTTACTGATACGGCCTTGTCCAACACTGTAGAAGCCCCACCAAAGTTCTGACTCAGCCCTGAGGTGACAGGAATGGAAGATCAGATTTGAGCACCTCATGCCCCTAATAGGCTCGTGTTTGAGCAGGTGGTCCTCAGTAGGCGTGGCTTTTTGCAGAGTTGTGGATCCTTTAGGAGGCGGGGCCTTGCTAAAGGAAGTGGCTGGGGAGGGGCAGACCTGTGCTCTGGCCAAGCTCTCTGCTTCCTCAGTACAATGCAGTGTAACCAGCAGCCTCATGCTCCCGCTGCCATCCTTTCCTTCCATGACAGACAATGCTCTCAAAGCAGGAAGCTAAAATAAACCATTCTGTCCTTAAGTGCTTTCTTCTGGGAGATTTATTACAGTAAGGAGTAAATAACAGTGAAGCTCCAGGGCTGGTCCAGGTAGCAGAAGGAGAAGCAGAACCCCTAGAGACAGCAGGCAAGCTCAGAATAGCCCCAGTTACAGGAACTTGCTCCTATAAGACTAAAGCCATTGCCACTCCTGTGTAATCCTGTAGCCTGAACCTCCAGAAGTCAATTTACAGATGGTCCAAGCTGGCAGGAAGGCCGGCAGTGGATATCACTATACAGGTTCTCCAAGTCTCCCAGAGAAGGCTTCAACCTTAATCAGCAGGAACAACTCCACTGTGGGTCATTTTATCCTGTTTCCATAGCAAACCTATAGCAATGCTTTAGCCTGGGAGTGCTGGGCCTCAGTGAGGCACCCAGAAAGCAGATAAAGAATGGCAATCAGGAGGCCAAAGATACTGTGAAAGGCTGATATTGCTGCTGGGCCTGAATGGAGTTCATAGTTTTATGTCCTACATCCAAAATTGCAGTCTACATCAAAAGAAACAGCAACAACAAACCCCACCAAGAACCTAGTCCAATGCTTCAGAAAAAAAACATAAAGGGATACTCAAGGGCTGGAGAGATGGGCTCAGAGGTTAAGAGCACTAACTGCTCTTCCAGAGGTCCTGAGTTCAATTCCCAGCAACCACATGCTGGCTCACAACCATCTGTAATGAGATCTGGTGCCCTCTTCTGGCCTGCAGGCATACATGCAGACAAAACACTGTATACACAGTAAATAAATATTTTAAAAAAAACCGGGATACTCAAACTAATTGGTGACATGAAATGGGATTTTCAAACAGTCACAAAGCATCTCCCCATAAGACATTTGCTAATTACACAGAAGAAAACAGAACCTGGGAGAAACCACATCAAGTAATGAGACATAGTATCTTGGGCCTTCCAATAGAAGACTACCACTGTGCTACCAATGCCTCAAGTGTCAAACCTGAATCTAGAAGCAAGGAAGCACTAAATACACCCATGAGAGGGTCATTCTACAGAATAACTAACCTATAGCCTTCAAAAGGTCAAGTCACAGATGGATAAGAGAGATTAAAAACTGATCCAGGTGAAAGAAACTGGAGACATTTGCACAATGGAGATCTGCACTAGCACAGGGCCTCTTTCATGATGAAATATGAATAAGCTCTCTGGGTCACAGTTTTATGTCTGAGCTGATATCCTAGTTTATACACTATATAAGAAACACTATGGTGTTTATTACTTATCCAGATGAGTTCAGTAGCACCCGCGGCATGGGTTTGTCTGACCTAGATGGAATAGCGTCATCTCTCTTGCTTGCTTAGTCTCTCCCAGCTGCTGTGTTGGGAAGGTCTGGTTGGGTGTTTACAGGGTGACAAAAGGATTTCAGTGCAGGCCATGTTTACTTAACAGGCCTCTGAGTGCTGACTGCTGGGTAGGTCGTGCTAGAATCATCCGTACCAAACTCTTTTGAGTCTTTACTCTGCCAGCGTTTAGGACAGAAAGGGCAGTTTGCTTTTTACTCTCAAATGGAGATTTGGGGTGTAACTCAGTGGTACTGAGCTTGCCTACTACACACAAGGCTCTGGGTCCCATCCCTAGCACTACAAAAGGAAAAACACAAAAACCAGAAAAAGAAACACACAGCCTTCTGGGTTTCTCCCACCCCCACCCCCGTTTTCTTTTTTGGTTTTCAAGACAGGGTTTCTCTGTAGCTTTGGAGCTTGTTCTGGAACTCACTCTAAAGGTCAAACTGGCCTCAAACTCACAGAGATACACCTGCCTCTGCCTCCCGAGCGCTGGGATTAAAGGAGTGCACCACCACTGCCTGGCTGCAGCACTCTGACTTATGCAAGTTACTCCAGCCCAGGTGAGTGGGAAGGGCTAGGCATTCCTAAGAATTCATGTTGTTTCTTCTTCAGGAGTAGAACCCATTCTTCTGTTCCCCAACCTCACATGGGGAGCCATGCCAGAGCCCTCCATCCAAACTAAAAACCTTGCCATCTTGAACCTCCCTTCTGCCAACTAGTTCCCTAAATAGATCTCCAAACATCGCTGCTCTTGCACTGGCTTTGCTCTCTGTTCTTCTCCCACTGCTCCCGCAGCTCCACTAGCACTGTGGGCTTGGTCTCTAACTGGCTTTGAATCTTTCTCTAACTCTTCTTTTTCATTGCAACTCTAAGGCTTTATTGTTCCCCAAGGCCTCTAGAGTGAGGCTTGTGGTACTCAGGCCCTTGTGAACCCCCCTCCCCTGCTTCTGAGCCAGGCAGGCTACTCTTGTCCTTTCCCCACAGCTGGCTCCTTGGGGGCCTAAACATGCAGGCATTACTAAAAAGAGCAAACTAAGACTTATTAGGACAATTAATTTTCTGCCTATAACTTGCATTAAAAAGTGAAGAGATCTGGCTACACATAACGGCACATTAACTGTGACTTTTATCAGAGTCCTGTGAGATGTGTTCATTTAAAATAAGCAGAGCTCTGTCAGCACCTAGCAAAGTACTAACTGTGGACTTCTGCCTTAGGAACCAGACTTCCCCATTTACTAGTTGTACGAGTTTTGGCAGATTTTATTATCCCTCTATGAGTCTGTTTTCTTAGCAGTAAATTGGGACAATCCTAAAAACTACATCAAGGGAGTGCTTTGAGGATCAAGTGAAGTAAATTAACACAGAAGTATTTGGGCCAGGTATGGTGGAACACATCTTTAATCCCAATATTAGGGAGGCAAAAGCAGGCCAATCTCTATGAGCTAGAGGCCAGCCTGGTCTATGTAGTGAGTTCCAGGGCAAGCAGAGCAACACTGTGTGATTCTGTTTCAAAAAATAATAATAATGATAAAAAATAACAAAGTACTTAGAATGAATGGTAGCAGGAGCACAGCAGCGCCACACAGTGGTCCCTGTTCCCATCACAGGCTGCAATAGTCAGCATATTCCCACGGGCCACAGAATCTGGCCTTCTCCCCTCATAACTCCACAGTATGTTCACAATCCAGTAGAGTTATTACTTATATTTTAACGACAAGGCAAGGGAGTTTCGGCCGAATCGACTTCAGTTCACACGCTAGGAAATGGTCAGCAGGGTATGACACTGCTTCACTGCCGTCTATAGAGCAGTAAGTAGAAGGGAAGAGCGTGGGAGAGGGAGGCAGAGAAGGGCAGCTCTGTGGGTGGTACTCACTTGCACTCAGCCTCTGCATCGGCCTTGGCGGTTGTGTAGAGGCCACGCAGCTTTGTCCGGTAATAAGGAGAAACTATAAACACAAGCATGAGGAGGCATGAGCAAGAGGAGGTAGCAACATGTAACCCTGACTCCAGGACATCAGAATCAGCCCGCAGAGGCTCAAGGCCAGGGCCTGGGTTCTCAGCTTTATGAGTTCAAACACGCTCCCAAGGGGTTAGTAAGATGGCTCCGTAGGGAAAGTACTTGCCTTGGAAGTACTTAGGAACCCAAGCTTAAAAAACAAACAAAAAACAAATCAGGCATGACCAGCCTGGCTCAAACACTGAGTTCTATGATAGCCAGGGCTGTTATATATAGTGGACCATCTCAAAAAAAGAATGGTGTCCAAGAACAAAACATGAAGTTGGCTTCTTCTGCACACATACACATACACGTGCATTTACAGCCTCCCCGACGCATGTTAAGAAAGTGCTCCCTGTCTGTTCATCAGGGTCACATTTCCATAAGGTAAAGATGCCGCCACCATTCTCAGAAAGCACCTTCTAACCTGCCACCTGTCGATACCTGGCAGGTGCAGAGAACCAAGGAGAAGAAAGAACTGTCCAAGGCTATTCTGAGTTAGAAAGTACCAGGCACAGGTGACCTGCCTTGGAGAATATTCAGAAGCCATGGGTGACTCTGCTTCAGAAAAGCCCTGTGCCCATGAGCTCTAAGGTAAGGGTGAGTTCAAGGCCGCTTTTCCAGTCCTGAGCTGAGAGACTCTGAGGTCTTTTGGTGCAAGGCCATCAGTCCCTGCCATTTTAGGTCATTCAGCCAAAGAAAAATGACCCCACAGAGCAATTTTAGAACATGCAGAAACAAGCAAAAATCCCTTTGATGACACAGTAAGGCCATGTTCCTGATCTCAGCCCTTCCCACCTCCTGTCTCTCCTGCCCTCAGTTACTCACTCTTGTTCTCAGTCTGCATCCGCTCGTGGGTTTTCTGGATGTTCACCAAGTTGTGCTCACTCCTCGAACGCTCTTCCTGTAAGGATGAGGTCAAGGGGCCATGAGGTAGACCCTCGCCCTAACAAAAGGCTCCCTCTGTGTTACACTGCCCCGCCTGTGGCTTTTGACAGACGATTCATTATATACCTATCCTTACAGTATCATACCCAAGAGCTCCACCCCTAAACACACTCCATGCAGCTCCTATCCTTTCAGCCCACCCCAAGTCTCCCAGGCTCTGACAATAACACCCGTGTACTGTCTCTAGCTTTGTCTTTTCTGGACTTTGTCACACAGTTGGAATGTGTATGTGTGTGTGTGTGTGTATAGCATATAACCTACTGCGATCTTTCACTTAGCAAATATGCGCCAATATTCAGATCCTTATTTTTTAGGGAATACCAACTACAAAGGGTATGTTCTGGAGAGGAGTTTCTGGGAATTGCTCCTTCCTGGTTCACTGGACCACACGGTCCAGCAGAATAACCAATGTGTGGCTATAAACATCAATAAGCCAGATATGGTGGCATATGACTTTAAACCCAGCATTCAGGAGGCCGAGGCAAATAGGCTCCCCCTATGAGTTGGGTCAGCCAACTTTACATAGCAAGTTCCAGGCCAGCTAGGACCACATAGAAAGATCCTATCTCAAAAACAAAACAATACAACCACACACACACACACACACACACACACACACACTCTTCAATGAGCAAATGTCTGAAAAGGCAATAATGGACAAAATAGAGCAATGGCACGCTCAACATGCCTCTGTATGTCACAGACACAAACACACCATGCTTTATTAGTGAACGAAAGAAAAGGTATTTTAATATATAGGAGGAATGAGATTTACAGCACAATGGGGCCGAAGATATGGCTCAGCAGTTAAGCGCACTGGCTGCTATTCCAGAAGACCCAGGTTCCAGTCCTTGCACCATATGGTAGCCCACAAATGCCTATAACTAGAGTTCCAAGGCATCTGACAAACTCTTCTGGCCTATAGGCCACCAAACACGCATGCAGTGAACAAACATACAGACAGGCACTCAACCATAATCATAAATAAAAACAAGCCTGAAAAAAAAATATAGAACTAGCTACCACCTGGCAGATCCAGTTCTTGGCACCACATGCAGGACAAGCAAATGTGCATGTGACTGTCACCTTTTAGTCCTAGGATGGGGCACTGCACATTTTCTGGTATGAATGTCACTGCATCTAGGCCATCATTATACATCTGCAACACGAGCACAAAGTAAACACTGGCCCACAGACAGAAAGGGCTTTGGGAACCAGCAGATGACGGCCTGTGCCTTGTGGGACAAGACAGATTCCTGACGAATGAGGAGCTGCCTTCAGAGGAAGAGTATTTGCTGATTAGATAAGATGATCAACCTGAGCTCTCTTACAGGAAAAAGGCCAAGAATGAAGGTCAATCTAGAAATGGTGAGGGCCTCTAGAGTCAGGCAGGACCAGCAAAAATGCCAGGTAATTCTAAAACCATCCATCATGGGGAAAGAAAGGGTTTAAACACTGACTCAGCAGAGCAGGCTAGGTACTTTGAACAGATAGAGGCCAGAGAAGCCACAGACAAGCCCTCACTGCTGCAGCCCATGGGCATACTTATGTGAGTCTCACGGAGCTCCAGGGCACTTGTCATGCAGTGAAGCATTAGGGCTGCTCCTGAACCAGCTAACAGAACGACTTCTGCTGTGTCGACACCAAAAAGAATGATCCTAAATACCGCCTGCGCCTATCTCAAAGGAAGGTGGCAGATTCCAGTATGTAATGCATGGTGATCTGTCTGGACTGAGGCAAGGTGACTGGTTTTGTTTTCATATTTGATCTGAAGCCCAGAAATATGTGGCCATGGGCAGCAGAGGGTTAACTCAGCAGGCCTGGGTTGTCTCAACCCCACACATTCTAAAGTGCTTTGGCCTTTGACCAGATCCTGGAAGCTAACTCTAAGTCCTTCGATTGCCTTGCCTCATAAGAACATCTGCGATTTTTTGGAGTTTGGAGATGGAGGAAGAGGAGTGATGGCTGATGGGTACAGGTCTAAAGCTGACCGTGGTGACCACTGTACGACTAAATTTCTAAAACAATCACTAAATTGAACGCCTTCAATAGGAGCTTTGTGTTGGATGTGATCTGTCTTTCAGACGGCTGTTAAACAAAAGGAACCCTGAAATCTTGTACTGGACAGAAAACCCAAAAGGAATGGCAGTCAGACACAAGATTCCCCCCTGCCGCCCTTTTCCAGCATCTTAGCTGACAGTGGTCTCTCTGAACATGACCCCACCTCCATACAGCTTAGCGCCACAGCCCGTGTTTCACTCGCTCTTACCTGGGTTTGCTTGATCAGCTGATGGAGCTCTGTGAGAAGCTCTGCAATTCGGGAATCAGCAGAAACGAGGGCCATGGAATGGGCCTGTGAAGGACATCTGGTCAGAGGGAAGAACGGAGGGAAAGCTGTCACTGTCTGCTGTGGGTTGAGCTGTATTTCTGAAGCGTGAAGTCCTAACCCTTGGCGCATGTTAAGGATGTATTTGAAAACTGGGTCTTTGCAGAAGGAAGTCAGAAGTAAGACAAGACCTTAACCTGGAGTGACAGTGTCCTTATCAGAGACAAACACACTCAAAAGGAAGATAACCACAGAGGCAGAGACTGGAGTGATGTAGCAAGTGATTGTTGGCCTTAAACTTGAAAGCTTTTCTCTTTGCCTTCAGAGTGGCCAGAGTGATAGCCAAGCACCGCCACACTCTACTTTAAATAAGACATTATATGAAGATGATTTCCAAGTCAAATGGACATCATTTTCTTACTAGAAAGAGAAATCACTAAAAAAAATCTTTCCCAAGGTAACTTAAATATATTGCAATAAAATGTTTTTGCATAACAAAAAGTAATTAGAAAAATAAAGATGACAATAAAAGGTAAAAAGAACGTTATGAGTAGTTGAAGATAGATACATCTAAAATAAAGTTTTCTTGGAATGAGGAAGGTTTTTTGGATGGGTGCTGGAATTTTGTACAATACTGGTTTCTTAGAAGGGTTGTTCTGGTGCCAGGCATGGTGGTAGGTATCTGCAATTCTACCTACTCAGGAGGGACAGGGGAAATTCCATGTTCCAGGCCAGACTAAGCTACATAAAACAAACAAACAAACAGACAAAACAAAACAAATTATTTAAAAAAAAGAAACAAAACAAATACTGGGTGTAGTCAGGGGTAGAGTGCTTGCCTAGTGTGCACAGGCCCTACGGCCAATCCCGAGGGTGAACAAAGCTTTACTGTGACACACTCCCGATGTGCAAAGGATGCACAGTGGAGATCCTAAGGAGGCAAGAGGCAAACGTCCCATGTCCATTCTTTGTATAAACACACCCAGTTGTTTAAAAAGTTAAAAATTAAAATCCCCACAATGATTAGGATGGAAGGTTGTGTAGAGTCCCTTGTAGGGAGTTAGCATGTATGTTGGCTTTAGATAACACTGTCCTAGAGGTATTTTCAAGAGCCATCCATCTTTCCTGGTAAGATTGTGAACTGGCATGGAAATTGAAGCAAGTTCTTCTTGGTATACATCACAGTTGATTAGCTTTATATGGGACAGTTCTTTTTTTTTGTTTGATTTTCAAGACAGGGTTTCACTGTGTAGCTTTGGCTGTTCAAGAACTCACGGAGATCTGCCTGCTTCTGCCTCTAAGAGCCAGGATTAAAAGTGTGTACAACCACTGCCCTGGAGAGACAGTTATCTTCAACTGTGATACAATTTACATGAAACAGTTGGTCTATTATCTGAACGCCACTCTGCAATTGTAAAACAAATATGGCTTATCAGGACTAGATATAGTTCAATGGTACAGTGCTTGTCTAGTATGTTCTATGTCCTGGGTTCATATGTTTCTTTGGGTTCCTGTGTTTCTTTGTTTTTAATTAAAAATTATCTTATTTTATGTATATGCTGTTTGCCCACCTATGAACCATGTGTGTGACTGATTCAGACAGAAGCCAGAAAGAGAGCACTGGATCTCTTAGAACTGGAGTTACAAATGGTTGTTAGTCAACATGTAGGTGCTGGGAACTGAACCTGGGTCCTCTGGAAAAGCAATTAGTGTTCTTCTGCTGAGACATTGTTCCAGTCCCCCTCCCCTTTTTGAGACAGGGTTATGCTATGTAGCTAGATTCAACTAGAACTCATGACGTGGTCTACAATGTTCTTAAACTTGTGATCTTCCTGCTCTGCCTCCTGAGTGCTGAGATTATATGCCATCATTCCCGGCAAGGATTGATCCCTTGTGCCACCAAAACAAATAATAAATCAGAAGAACTAAGTAAGGATGGGGGAAGACAGCTCAGTGGGTAAAACTACTCACTGCACAGGCATACCGACTTGAGTTTAGATCCCCGGAACTCATGTAAAAGCTGGAGGCAGTAGTGTAAGTGGCTGAAATTCTAGCACACCTACAGGAAGGGAGAGACTGGACAGGTGAACCTCAAGAAGCATGCACAGCACAGAAAGGACCAGCACCACAAAGAGACCCTGTCTTAAGGTGGAAAGGTAAACACGCAAAGACTGTCCTGCCTTCTATATGCACACTGTGGTAGGCACTAACCACTCACCCATCTGTTATATATAAATATAAATATAACTTTACATATAACTCATATATAAATGGGGAGGAGGAGACCTATTAGATTTCATTTTCATGGATGAGAAGACAGAACATTGTTCCGACAGCAACACTCCCCTGCTGATCTGCAGGACTCAATGCAATCTTAACCAAAATCTTTTCCTGAGAAAGGACATTTCTAAAAGTGTCAGGAACTTGAAGATGAAGACTATTCGAATGACCAAAACACAATGTAATTATAGTGCCTGATGGGTTCGTGCAATTATATAGTTTTTTGTAGATCAACTTGAATAATTTCCACCAGTGAAATTGCTTCATTTGATGTGGACAAGATAGTGTATTGACATCTAAGGTTACAACAGATGGCATATGAAAAATAACACTCTAGAACACTCATTAGTGGTCCTTAAAAGACGGCACGAGAAGCAAGAGGAAACTCATGAGCTGTATGAAATGTGCTAATAGATAATGGGCCTCTAACTCTTCAGAGATCTGTTGAATATGGTATTTCAACTGTTTATAAAAAAGCTTCCTGTGACACACAGAAATGCCAGTTCCTAGCAGTGATCGTGAGGTCTCCAAAGGAGGCGGTGACTTCACCCAGACTGTGGTAGCATTAACTACTGTAAAAAGAACTGCCCCAGGCCTCACCCACCGACAGGGCTCTGCCCAAACTGGACATTGGTGGGTTGAGAGCTCTACTCTGCCTTGCTGAAGTGGGTTAGTTTTTCCAAGTCCCTCCTCCACAGGAAAACCCGAGACCTTCTGGGTCTGGCAGCTGAAGGCTGAGGATTTAATGCTGTCCTGTGTGACAGCTGAACACCAACAAAGCCGCTGGGATCACCACAGGAGCGCAGGTTAACCATTCAGGTAGCTAGTTAGTCTCTGTCATTTCAACTGACATAGAAGCCATTTGAATTAACTTCCTGCTCTAATTTATCCTTCTCGGACGTGATGGTGCTGACAGCTAACTGTGGCTTTATTAGTTTAACAAACCTGGTCCTCCTCTCAAGCCTGCAGTTTTCTGGTCAGTCCCTGCAATGGTTTGAAGGAAAATGGCCCCCAAAGGGAGTGGCACCATTAGGGGATGTAGCCTTTTGGTCTTGTTGGAGGAAGTGTGTCACTGTGGAGGTGGGTTTGGAGGTCTTATATATGCTCAAGCCATGCCCAGTGAGACAGTTCACTTCCTGTTGCCTTTGAATCAAAATAAAAGAATTCTCCAGGGCTGGAGAGATGGCTCAGTGGTTAAGAGCATTGCCTGCTCTTCCAAAGGTTCTGAGTTCAATTCCCAGCAACCACATGGTGGCTCACAACCATCTGGAATGAGGTCTGGTGCCCTCTTCTGGCCTGCAGGCATACACACAGACAGAATATTGTATACATAATAAATAAATAAATAAATATTAAAAAAAAAAAAAGAATTCTCCAGCATGATGTCTGCCTGAACGCTGCCATACCCCCAGCCACCACGCTCCCTGCCATGATGACAACGGACCAAACCTCTGAACCTGTAAGCCAGCCCCAGTTAAATGTTTTTCTTTATAAGAGTTTCTGTGGTCATGGTGTCTGTTCACAGCAATAGAAACCCTAAGACAGTTCATTTCATATGTAAAAATCAGGCCTTCTACTAGGTCTCCTGCTAAGAAAGGCAGACAGTTTACCTTGCAATGTCTACTATTACCAAGTCCCAAGTTCAAAATTTGAAATTTTCTTGGTTGTCTTCTAAGTTTATTTAAAAGTGCTTCTCATTGTGATGAAAACATCTGAGTAAAGAGTGTTTGTGCTTTAAACCCAAAACCATAAATTTGCTGTGACTCAAAGGCGTGAGTCAGTTCAGGGGCTTACAGACACAATGAGGATGTCAGTGCTGATTACTAACAGTGGTAATGCTAATACACCAAAAACTTGTATTTCTTTTTGTAAATATTTTAAAATGTTTCACGTAAACTTCAGTGAGCTATGACTTGGACCTACTGATCACAGGTCAAACTGACTCCAGATAAGTACTCCTGCCAATCAACAGCCTAAACTTCCCCGCCTACTGCCTAATCCCAAGGGAATATCTATCTCTTACTCCCCCACCCCAGGCTCCACTCCTGTCTCGAGACTGCTTCCACACCCCCAACTACCAGGACCATGGGCCTGGAAGTTACAAATGTACACCCAAGATAAAAAATTGTCCCCGAAACTTTAACTCCTGTCCCCACTCTGTATCTGTCCCAGGAGGGTTCCAATCAGCTGAAGAGTGCAAACTGCTCCCAAACTGCCTGTCATGCTCCAGCCCCAGGGGTTCCTTCACAACCTGCGTCCCATACTGCTCCAAAGTGGCCTGTGCTTCACTAGCCCCAGGTGGTCCCTCAGAACCTGGGAGGTGTAAAACAGGTGTTCCTCAGTCTGCACTTCTCTCTCCTTTCTGGGCCTTGGCCACAACTCCAGCCTTCCTGGGCTCTGACTACCACACCCCAATTTCAGCTAAGAATCAGGTACAGAAGAGATTATGCCCCCTTTTTTATTTATTTATTATGTATACAATATTCTGTTTGCGTGTATGTCTCCAGGCCAGAAGAGGGCACCAGACCTCATTCCAGATGGTTGTGAGCCACCATGTGGTTGCTGGGAATTGAACTCAGGACCTTTGGAAGAGCAGGCGATGCTCTTAACCACTGAGCCATCTCTCCAGCCCCCAATGCCCCCTTTTATCACCAACAAAAAGGCTAGAATGTTAGGTCCCCCAAAACCTCAGGACAAATGGCTGTGTTGCCTATCAGCATACCGAAGTGTGTGCTTGGGCTCTGGGCTCATCAAGAGCAC